ATGCTGGAGCACATCCGAAATCTGCTGAAGGGGCCAGGTGACGTAGGGAGACCGTTTCTTCCGTGCCGTTAGAGTGTCTGACATATGCGTACTCAGGGTTACATTCCAGGAGCTCAACCTCTTCGACTAGGGGGTCGTACTTTGAAGACCGTGTGTTTCGCCGCATCAGAACTGGTCCTGGCGAAATCAACCACAATGGCAAGGACGTACCGACTGCGGATTTTCGATTGTGATGAAACATCCGCTCGTGTGGAGTAGCATTGGTGGCCGTGCACAACAAAGAACGAATCGAGTGGAGAGCGTCTTGTAAAACGGCTTCCCAGTGACTGATTTGAAGACCCTTTGATCGTAATGAAAGCGTAATAGCCTTCCACAAAGTTCCATTCAATCTTTCCACCTGGCCGTTCCCCCTTGGATTATATGGAGTGGTCCGACTGGTGGCTACACCTTTTTCATGAAGAAATCGTTTGATCTCATCCGAAATGAATGATGAGCCACGATCCGAATGCACGAAACTTGGCAGGCCAAATGTGGCGAACAGTGGCACAAGGCATGATATCACCGTAGACGAACTGATATCTGGACATGCATAGGCGAACGGAAAACGGGAATATTCGTCTACGATCGTCAGTAGATATTTGTTTCGAGTCGTCGAAGGCAGTGGTCCCTTAAAGTCAATGCTTAAACGTTCAAACGTTTGTGTGGCTTTAATGAGGGTACCGCCAGATGACTTGAAGAAACGTGGTTTTAGTTCCGCACACACATGACACTGCTTAATGACGAGTCGGATATCCTCTAGGGAGAATGGAAGATTCTTGGCACGAACGAAATGCATCATGCGTGTTGCTCCAGGATGACACAGGGTTGTGTGTAAGCGTTTTAGATCCAGGTGAGATGAAGTGTTCGCACAGACACTCCGAGAAAGCGTGTCAGCAGCTTTGTTTTCTATGCCTGGTCTGTAGGTAACGTCAAAAGAAAAAGGCGATAACTCCATCCGCCATCGTTGGATTTTGTCATTTTTTATTTTCCCTTTTTGTTGTGTTGAATACATGAATGCAACGGATCGCTGATCAGTTATAATTTTGAAATGGGTCCCGAGTAGGTAATGCCTCCATTTGCGCACTGCTTCGACAATTGCGCACGCTTCTTTCTCAATAGCGGAATGGTGTTTTTCGCTGGCAGACAGTGTACGTGAGAAGAATGCGACCGGTCTGCCATCTTGATTGAGTGTAGCAGAAATCGCGACATCAGATGCATCAGTTTCGAGCACCAAAGGTATTCTCGGGTCGATAGTGACCAAGGCTGCATCCATCAACTCCTTTTTCAAACTTTCAAATGCTTTTATAACAGATTCAGGGACAGGAAAGGTTGTATTGTGAGTGATTGGGTAGATCTTATCCGAGAAACGGCTTATCCAACGAGAATAGTACGCGAACAATCCTACCACTCGTTGTTGAGACTTGATGTCGTTCGGAACGGGCAGTTCTTGCAATACCTTGAAGCGTTCAGGGTCTGGTTTGATGACACCTTCAGTAATTTCATAGCCGAGGAGTCTGAGCTTAGTGGTGGAAATCGTGCTTTTATCGTGATTTAACTGAAGGCCGTACTTTTGTGCTACGGTGAGGAAAAGCTGGAGGTTTCGATCATGTTCTTCTTGATTCTTTCCACAAATGGTAACATTATCCACATACGCATATGTCCCGGTAAGTTGTTCGGCGCGTATTATGTCATCCATTACCCTTTGAAAACAGGCTACCCCATTCGTTACTCCGAAAGGTATTCGACGGAACTGATAGAGGTTGTTGCAAGCCTCAAAAGCCGTGTAGATTCTGTCGCTTTCTTTAATGGGTATCTGATAATACGCACTTTCAAGATCAAGCGTGCTGAAAATACGATATTGAGCTATTTTAGTACTCAAATCTTCAAGTCTGGGGAGCGGATAAGCGTCTAGTTGCGTAAATCGGTTTATAGTTTGACTATAGTCAACCACCATTCGCTTCTTCTGTCGTTCATTTGTCGTGACGAGCACTTGCGCTCTCCATGGGGACTTCGAGGGTTCAATGATGTGTTGGTCAAGTAAACGCTTTACTTCAGAAGCAATGAAGGCCTCGTCGTCTGCAGAATGTCGCCTGGACTTTATGGCGATTGGCTTACACCTTGGGTCAATATGCTCGAACAAAGTGGGAGGTTCAATTTTGGCAGCAATTAGGCCACAAAGGGAAAAAGAAGGTTTGTCACCGTTGAATGAGATTTCCAGGGACTTATGAAGCTTAAGAAAGTCATGTCCTAGCAAAATATCTGCACAGAGGTCACGTAATACTGAAAACTTGAAAGAGGGATACTTGTTTTGTTTGTGTTGCAACGTTAAAAAGCAATGTCCAAGAGTAAAGCTTTTGTGCTGGATAGATGCCAAAGTTATCTCAGATGACGATGGTAGTACAGACCACTTGTTACGACGGACTACCTTTTCGGAAATGAAACTTTCTGAGCTACCAGTATCAACAAGAGCTCGAAGCGGGACACCATTGGCTTTCACATCGGTGACTGCTTCTTTTAGACACTCAGGAGCCGCTGCAGTGACGCAAGATAGCGCACTTGAAACAGATGAGGTGTTCCGCGGACCAGTAGATCTGCATACCTTTTGAAAATGCCCTTTCTTCCCACAGTTTTTGCAGGTCGCATCTTTAGCGGGGCATTTATATCTCGGGTGACGAGCATAGCCACAGAAGAAACATGAAGACCCCACACTGGCAGCAGTCGCCTGCTCGTGCGATGACGTTTGAGAACGTGGGGACTTTGGCGGGTCGTTCGATACGGTGGCACAGGGAAGTTGAGTGTTCGGCAAAAACGACAACGACTGTTTTTGCGCTAGTTCGAGGGACTTTGCATGGTCGTACGCGGTTTTAAAATCCAGCGACTTATGTTCCAGCAGTCTCTGGCGTATAGTATTGGAATAAAGTCCGCTAATAAACGCATCTCGCAACGCTTCATCGGTATGCTGTTCTGCACTGACGGCTGTAAAGCGGCAGTCTGGCAATAAACTGCGAAGCTTCTGCACAAACTGATCAAGGTTCTGAGCTCCGTCCTGTTTACAAGTGTTCAAAAGATGCCGTGCAAAAACTTCATTTTTCGGCTGTACGTAAATTTCTCGCAAGGTTTCGATGGCTGATTCATAGTCTTTGCAGTCTTTGATGAATCGGTAAAGGGGAGGGGAGACGCAATTGAACAAGGTTTTCAGTTTATCTGGTGAATGAGAACCGATTGACTCTAGGAAGTTTGTGAAAGTACCAATGCTCCTAGATGATGAAACGTTTAAAAAAAGAGCAAATATATAACACTAAGTCCCTTTCCAGTCCATTTTTCTTCTTTTTTTTCCACGGTTGGGTTTTCAAATAAGTCATGGTTGTACGGCATCGAAGCATCAGTGTTGAACACTGATAATGATGATGAAGGCGCCAGGTCACACGGTTCTCCCCGCCTGCGATCCCGCTTTTAACACAGACAGACAGCATTCAATCCATCTTTGATGGTGTCTTGGTTACAGTCTGTGTGTACAAACAGACAGTGTGAGACTTCTTAACGGACGCCTCAAGACGAACCACATAGAGCCGATCAAGGATCCTTCTGCTTAGTGTTTTAGGACAATGCGAACCGCTGCTTAGTCCGCCATAGCGATCTCTGGATCGCCGGGTGTTTGCAGCCCATAGCAAGTAGAGTGTGATTGGGAGCTTAGCTCAGCCACTGTGCTCACCTTTTGAAATCTTGTTTCCTATACACAGCACACATCACTGTCAAGCGAGTCCAGTGTGAGAGTTGTCCTACTTGCCTCAGAGTGCGAAGATTTAAAGTGGCCAGATAGGTCTGGCGTCGAGACTTGTGGATTGATTTCGAGCTGACTGAGGATGGCGCCGGATGACGTGCAGATGTTGCTTACAAAAGCGGTGCAGGATAGACTGGGTAATCAATTTTAACCATTGTCTCTACAAGGAGTTGTTAATGGGGTGGCGGGAGGTGGGTGAAAAAGTATGTGAAAGAAGAAGAGGTAGACGGCAGCAGTAGCCTGTTATTACCAGCCTTGCTATATGAGGTCAGTAAGTCAGTAAGGCTGATGGCACCTCGCGCCAGCCGATGTGGCATGAGAGTGTTGTTAGTTGTGGGTATCATGTTTGTACGTGGGTTTGGTCACCTACAAGATGCCCAGACCGAGACAGGAGAACGACTTGTGTCCTGGGCCAAAGCCTTTGGCTCAAAAGCCCGACCGTAAGCAGCGATATTTGATGCGAAATGCCAGTGCATTCGAATTTTTGAGAGCAAGCCGCGATGGATGTTCCAGCCCCCAACTTGCAGTGTAAGGAGATTGTATTGGTGAGACCTCTAACCACTGGCCATTCTGGGATGAGGGGCTCTGAAAGTGTCGCTTAGACAACCCCAGTATAACGCAGCAGGTCAAGGAGACATACAAACCATCACACCAGCTTAAGGTCCAGTCACTTCGTGACAGCATGTTCACTTGCCGATCTCATTCCCTCGGATTCATATCGGCGCAACCCTCGAACGTCACCACACTAGTTTAAAGATTGTGGCTTTGTATCTGTAAAAAAATGCCACCAGTACGGATGAGCCGTATCGCCGCCGCAGTCAGTTACATTTACTGCGTACGAACTTTCACAGTCACTTCGATTCGACTGATTTACTTCACCTACAATCACATAAATTCAAGTGTAGCCAAAGGGTGAGATAAACACTTGACACACAGGTTTATGTTTTGGACTTGTTTACGGTAAGGAAAACCACATCTTTTATAAAATAGCTAGCCTTACAAGAGAGCAACTTTGATTCACCACGTGGGCATTCTTTGCAAAGAAGGATCATTGTACCTTTAATATCTACGTGCTGTCAGGGACCTGTCAAAACTGTGCAATATACTTTACGGTCTCCATTCTTTCCAACCTGTTAATAATTTCTCCTTCATAATGTCTAATGCTCCACTCGTTTTCCAGCTTTCCAATGGCCCTTGTTGCCCCAAAAGTGCTTAAAGGTCTTTATTTTTTCTGCGAGCCTCTAGCCGAAGGTTCCTTCGGTGTTCTTTACGTGGCACTTCATGCAATCACACGTCGCAAAGTGGCCATCAAGATAATTGACAAACGCAAACTTGGGGTATGTTTTGAAGTATGTTTTTTGTTACACAATTAGGCAGACGCATTTCGCGTCCGAAGTGAGATCGAAGCTCTGAAGCAACTCAACCACAAATATATCTATAAACTCTATCAAGTCGTTGAAACGACCTACTTCTTTTATCTTGTAGTTGAGGTAAGATGACGTCACGAAGCTAATCACGATTCATTCTAGTACCTTCCCGGTGGTGAACTCTTTGACTACATCATCCAGAAGGGTCATTTGTCGGAAGTGGAGGCACGTGTTATTTTTCGTCAGATTGTCTCGGCTATTGGATATATGCATAGCAAAGGATTCGCCCATCGTGATTTGAAGCCGGTAGGCTCAGTTTTTGTCCACATTTTTCTATTTTGGTACTCCACAGGAGAATATTTTACTCGATAATGACCAGAATATTCGCATCATAGACTTTGGTCTGTGTGCAAAGGTGAGTATTAGTTCTTCTTTTAACTTGTAATCTGCCCGATCTTTCACTTCATTGAAGAACACTCTCAACACGATGCTAAACACATTTTGTGGATCGTTTGCCTACGCCGCTCCGGAAGTACTAGCAAACCGAGATTACTGTGGGAATGCTGTGAGTTTTCTATATACTTTCAGTAATAATGATCTAAAAGTTTTTGACCCACGTCGCAAACAACCGCAGAAAAGCTGTTCACAAGCGGAAGTGTCAGCCGTAATTTAGGGAATCCCATCATAAAATGGGGCCTTTGGCGGAAGAAAGCATTGTATTCTGATTTAAGCGAGCAACTTGTAAACTGCTTGATATCCTACTACGCGTTTGTTGTTGCTGTTGCTGTTGCTTGCAAATCAGGATACCAGTACTGGAGAAGATAGAGTAAGTGATGATACAGTCAGTTCGCTTCATGAATTTCCATCTCATTACTTTCGTTGTGGGTTTATCCTAACAACGTGAGCTGGAATTCGAATTCAAGTTTGATACATTATTTATCAGTTAGTGCGAATTTCGCCGTTAGGTGTACAGAAAGTATAGGCAGTAAAATTCTTGATAATGTTCCTATCTAGCCAAATAAGGCCATGAACTTGACACATTTTTGTAGCTAACGCGTGTACTCTGTTTTTTGTAATTAACTGTTTTCGTCCACCCAACAGCAGCAGGGACCCACGAACACTTGGTTGTTTGTTTGGTTGGTTGTTTCCTACAGCCACTGCGTTCATGCTATTCACAGCTTCGAAGGGAACGTCAAAAGGGACACCTCGAACTTAAAAACACTTTTTGCACCCGGGGCCCTTAAACCCATGAACATAGGGAAGTGTTTCTCGCCGTTAACCCCATTACCATCAAAGTCACCGGCGCCAGGGTTGGCACTCCGCTCCATACCAGTCAGCTCATCAGGAAGGAACCGGTAATCTCTTTCTGGTATGCTGTATCTCACTAGCCAAACGAAGACCAATATTCGCTAAATACAAAGCTTTGACGATGTTCCTATAGCTCACAAAACTAATGAACACTGTTGATAGTTTGGAATGCTTAATTCTGCGACAACACGGAAGGTTATCGCTGATGATTGTGTGACCGCCGAGGCTGATTGTGCCCCATCACTTGAACGCATACCCAAGAGTGGTTGTATTGCTTCAAAAAGCCCCTTCACAACTGAACCCATGAAAAAAGCAGGAAGCTTGATTCTGTAACTCAATCTTGGAGCGGGCGGATTGGATAATTGAGTCTGGTTAGGGTTTAACATAAGACACCTGCACTTTTCCAAATACCCTATTTTGTGTATTACTATTGAGAGCCGAGCAGGGACGTTAGAAACGGTGGTCAGGATGTTTAATTTAACTTCCCGACGGAATAGTTGTATCCCTTTGTTTTCTTAGTTGGAGGACACACTCTACTACGGAACCTACCCGGTAATGGTTTGCCGTTACCGCTCCAACACCTAGGTTGTTCAGTAAGATGGGAAATTTGATTTCTTCAGTCTTGGGTCTCATCTGGAAAGAAGATATCTATACGTGGGTGAATTTTTCATCAGGTGTATTGTTGCCCTACAGAACAGATACAGGAAGGCACTATTAGCTTACGGCAAATGGTGTATGACTCCTTGGGCTGGCACCCGTTTCTTTATTTGTTTGTTACGTTGAACTTCTTCGATAGGTCTCATGAAGAATTACTAAACGCAGTTTTCGCTAAACCGCCTGCGGAATTACCCACATTCCCTTCATCTGATGTAGCATCATGAGAGAAGGAAGGACGAACAGAAGAAAGGCTTCTGGTTGTCTGAGATGATTTTATATATTCTGTGTCATCTGTTTACATATAACCTCACCGAGAGTTAGGGCTTTCGTTTTTGGGGGCGATTTGTTCTACTGGTCCGTTTCTGGAGAAGGCTGTAACAGCAAGAAGTCAATTTTACCCCCTTTTATTTTTCATAACACCTTCCACGCAATCCATCAGCGTAGTTTCTGAATGATCCTTGGACCCTTTGCTACCATCCCATTGTTACTTTCACAGGCGGATCTTTGGTCACTCGGTGTCATCCTTTATGCACTTCTTTGCGGCTGTCTCCCTTTCGACCCTACAAAACCTGAGGAGCTCTCTCAAAAGATTGGGGTTTGTTGCTCTTCCATCGATTTCATCGATTTTTGCTGTAGAAGGGAGTCTACACCACCCCCGGCAATCTTAGCAAATCAAGCCGGAATTTGTTGTCTCAGCTGATGTGTGTTAATCCAAAAAAGCGCATAAAAATGGAAGAACTTTGCCGACATCCCTGGATTGTTGAGGGATTCATGGGTCATCCCGTGGAACTGGACAACGAGAGAACAGTGGTGAGTACTTGGCATTTTCGGCTCTTTCAAACTAGGCGGAACACTTTTCATCCCACTTTGCTGAATTTTAATAGAATTTCACTAATTGACGAGTCTACATATTTAAAAACGAAACTGTACTGTTGTTCTGTAGTCTTGCTTCTCCCACGATCCACTTTTTGGTGCCTTTGTGCCAGTTAATTAAGGCTGCTACTGTGACTGTTCATTTATCTGAATGACCAACTTCTCTGCTTTCGTATAGTACCTGCAGATTCTTCGTATCGGTTTCATACATTATGGTCGAAATAGTTGATGACGAAATAAATAATCGTTCGGCGGCAACGACCATTCGTCGCCTAGTTGTCACGCTACCCGTAGAAATTACAAGATACTGTCAGGATGCAATTGAGATGCAAGAGGTGGACAGAGTTCGAACCACCCAGCTTCCGGTCAGCGAGTTCGCGCCTTAACCACTGAGCAACATCGAGTTCAAAACGTGGTTGGTCAATTGGTGTGCATGTTGTACAACTTTTTCGTGCGGACCATTTCCACCATTCTGGCCCATCATGTTTCTGTCCCATTTATGGGTTCACACAACGGGTATTTTTTCTCCCGAAATGACCCGTGTTTGTACCTTATTATTGCAAATGCGCCTTAGATCAGTCCTGTTTTATTACCAAAAGCACGTAATTGTCGGTTTGCGGATATTTTACGTATCTTCATCTCAGTTCGACGGTAGATGGATTCAGAATCTTGCTGAGTGAATAGTATTTACCGAAAACGAATTCACTGTGAATGAATCGCCCCTTATTTTGGAGGTTTAACGCGAATAAGGTCTTGGCGACCACCGAGCAGCTCTATTCTTTAGATTTGGTGAATTGTAAATGGATGACTGTTACTCAATTTTCCATCACTCTGTGTTACAGATGAACCCGCTTAACATGCGCATCGTGGCTGAAATCAGCGAGTACACCCGAATTCCCAAAGTCGAAATGGCTAGATTATTGCAGCGGGTAAGTTTTTCGCCGAAGGAATTCACCACTAGATAGCATCGAACTTGCCCTCTTGTTACTCGAAGAACTTCTGGTATTAATCGATCAGTATTTCTCGCACCTTACAGATTCACCAAGAACGTATGTTTATTTGGCAGCCAGCAGTTCCTAATTACGCCTGACGCCAGAACGCAGGTGCATACCCTTTGCAGCTGATGAGTAAACGGGCTGTTCGTGCAGACGAGTTGTAGCTATCTAATATTCAGGTGATGTGTTGCTTGAGTCATCATTATCATCATCATCATCGACAGCATGACATCAGGCCGTTTTGTAACTGTCAGGTATAGCTCACAATGTAACGGATGTGCCTTCTTCAGGCACCACTTAGTCCCTTCATGCCGCTTTGTGGCACGCAGTTACTTTTATAAGTAACAAGGCCATACATGTCCTTGTCTTATTCAGCTGCCCATGTTTCATCAGTTTTTCAAGACGGATACCGTCTTGCAGCTGGTCGGGGTTTCACTACATGATTATTTGTTCTCGCCCCGTATAATGAGGTTTGATCCATAGCACTCTTTTCTTTCTTTCCCAGCGAGCGTACGATTATCTCATGGCAACCTATATGATTATGGAAGCATCTTTAGAAGAAGACGATGTTTTCATCCATCTCACAGCACGTCGCCCGAACGAAGAAGATGCGGTTTCTCACACCCGTAGCTCTCGACCAACAAGTTCCAAAACCGTCCCAGGTCCATTGTTCCCCCGCGTTGCACTGTGCAACCAGTCACACTCTTCAGACCCTGGTGTTACTGCGTCTTGGACACGCCAACCACTTGGAACGCACGCCTTGTCAAACGGACAGAATTTCACCATGAATGGAGTATGTTTTCTTTGAACTAACTGGCTAGGGGACGAGAATGTTTTGGTGTCAATTTTCCGGGTTGCGGAGCCAAATTACTTCTCCCTTGAAATCCACTTGGTATTCGGCATTTTGAACCCGCTCATTCAGGCTGCTGTGTCAGCACCCGCTAGCAAAGCTCTTCCTCCTGATAGAATACTGAATAGGATTAGTTCTCTGGCATGAACGTCTGGAAAGCTCGCTTTGGTAGGTAAGCAGGCATTGGGCAGGTGAGTTTGTGGAACACTTCTGAGTGAACCTTAAATAATTAATAATGAATGAATAAATAAATAAATAACACCACTACAAGCATCTCGGTCACAACTCTTATGGCCCTAGGGGAACAACTCCGTAGTTAAAGAGTCTTTCCACAGTGACCATTTAGTGCTGATAGAACAGCACTCCATCCACGGATGTGTGGTAACTCCCCCATCGATTTTACCTTGTCAGAAATCCCCTGTGTTCGGAGGTCAGCCGCTCTTAATAACCGAACACCATGTCCTTTGGACGAATGTGTCGTGCCTTGGCTGCGAACTTAACGAAGGCATACCCTGACTGGTCAGAATGCCAGCTAATCTTGATCGAGCGTCATAGCCCGGCGCTTCTCGTCCTTGTGAAACAGTGTAGTAATATTCCTTTATCTCCATAAGGGGCTGTCTCAAGCTACCGTGCCTTTTGATACACCACAGTGGGCGAAACAACAAGCCGAGGGCCAATTTGGAATTTGCACCACCGTCAGCAAGTCACAGCACCCTGTGAAGTGGAACCTAAATGGACCTGCCGAACTGATCACACTTCGAGGTGTGATTTTTAGCGGATCTTGTTGGATTAAGCAGCCGTCCTACGTGTCCGGTCGGAGAGGAGTTGATGTTAGCACTTCTGTCTGGCAGTGCGCAGTTAGCAGTCACTGCTCTGGATATCAGTAGGTTAGCAGCTATCTTCTCTGACTGTTTTTAAACTGCACTATTGGACGAGCATGGTTTCTTCAGTCTTGTCACATTTCACTTCCAAGTAACACCTTACTATGCTGTGCAGCCGCTGCGATCCAATGTGAATTAGCTTTGCGGACTCGCTTTGCCAACGGGGCTGTTTAGTTTTGTCTTGATATCCTAATATGCTCTTTTAAATCTTTGAGAGTAGCTATGACACCCGCTTGACTTGAAGGATGCACGTTTTCTTTACGAAACAGTCTGGATGTTTCAGTGATCCCTGTTAGAATGATTGTTGCAACCAAATCACATTCGCCGTATTCAGTTCTCCACTCCAAGGTTAGGTTGCCGGGTTCCTCGTGCAAGTGTACGTGACAAAACATCAGACATTCAGAGCAGTAGCAGCTTTTTACAGTAGTAGCAACTCATTTCATTTCATCCCTTAACTTTCTCTGCCTCATCTCCCCTATTTCTCGCAGAGGCCCTAGTTTCTGGTAACTGTTATCTCCTCCATATCCAGCTTCCAGATTATTGCCCCCGACACTGCTACTGTTTCAAATTTAGGGCTTGTGCTTATAACTACCCCGTTTTCTGTTTCCCTTTCTGACCTTCTTAGAACTTGGACACAAAGTTTCCAGCATGGGTGGCTCGAAGGTAATCTTTCGGAAGTTAGCGAATAATAGTGTTTCCCAACAACATTAACACATATTAGCCTTTTCCTGTAATTAATTCTAACTGCGGAAGCGTCATTTCGAATGCTGCCTCAGGTTTTGCTGGCAATATCACTAATGATCTTAACGACATTGTTCTTCAGTTTCTTGCTTCTCCAGGCAGCATAGACTTTCCTCTTCGGAATGTTTTAACCACGTTTCTGCCTGTTTCTGCGTGATACACGAAAACCATCCATTATTTAAAGGCCCTCATTTCCACATATACTTTCCAGCTGTTCAACTCTTGGTCTGCTACCGTCGACGGCGCAAAGTATATGATTGTTAGTCATCAGTTTGATGCGCCGGGACGTAATTTCTGTTTAGCTAATTTTCCTCGATTTCTAGTTATCAGAGAAACGTTTCTCTGCCACGTGAAAAATTGAAATCTTCCCTCAACTTCTTTCTTCTAACTCAACAATGGTCCTTCAACATCTGTTCCAGTTTACCCATCAATTACCAGTTATCTGTCTCCTTTCTCCCATCGTTGTTTGCCTGTATCGCTTATCCCCATCCATCACTTCCATGCCCTAGAATATTTCATGCGTACTTCCTGCCTCCTCCGACTAGAGGGAATATCGCCCCATTCCGACTACTCTAGTTTTATCCAAAGTGCTCGAGCCAGTTTCTGCGTGCTCCTAATTACAAGCCCTCTTGAGCGACCACCAATATAGATTCAGTCACCACTGTTCCACCAGTTAATTGGCCTCCTCACGTTTGCTGCTTTGTCCTAAACTCCTTTGATGAAATTCAGCTTTTTTCTTGAGTATTTCGAAAAAAGGTAGGAAAGTATGGTATGCAGGTTTTCTCGCCAGATTATCCACTCATGGTCTGCATCCTCTTAATCAAACTGATTGGAAACTCCCTAACGAATCCTTGTCTACAATTTCGCGTGAACGCTGCCGCTTCTCAGATCCACTCCACAGGGTTCTGTTCTGTTTCTCTTTCCCTCACACATAAATAATCTATTTGCTTTCCTTAGAGAAAGGTTCAAACGAAGTTCAAGAGGAACCATCGAATGAACCGAACCAGAAGAACTAGGCCCTAGGCTGGACCCAAACACGTAGGTTTCCCCACCGACCCAACACTTGTTCAACCACTCTAACACATTAAAATCCCTCGATCGACACCCAACAGAGATTTAGCTTGACTTAGCTGATTGGTTCTCCTTCCGCCTTAAATCTCGACCAACCTCGGAACCTAGTCACTTCGCCTGACGAAGCTTTTGTGTCAAAAGCGTAACGTTGCCCAGAAATAAATCTACCGATTGTCACCAAGCCTTTTTCTAAAAACTATTTGCTTTCGTTTATCTTTAGTTGGGTTCACGGGCTGTGCTACCCTCCGCTAACCAACTTCCCGCTATTCTCAGCAATCTACCTCATCTGATTCCATTGATGACCTTATTTAAACCGTCAGCATAACGAATACCGAACCTGTCAACACATTTCGGTTTCATCAAATACAGTTGCATCCAACTTACAGCCTCCCTTTCACTTCGCCGCTCTACTTCCAAATTAACTTCCAATTGACTCTAACCCTATTCCACAACCGTCGACTTGTTCTCTTCGTGGTTTAACGTCATTCCTTTGTTTGTTTTGTGTCAAACAAGTAGACAATCTGGCCTTCACAAAATCCTGTCTCCTTTCCACTTCTGGAACATCCCCCTCCCAGTTGCTCCTAATCCACGTTTTTTCCACGTTCTGGGGTTAGTTCCTCCCATTTCATTTACCCTTCTGGACCAGCTTCAGCAGAGAGTTGTGCGTTTTTCTACTGCCTCTTGTTTCATCCGCTTTCCTGACACCGGGGTTTATCCCTGCTTTCTTTGTCGCTGCTACCATGGTCAGGGTTTTCCTGAACACGCATATTGTTCCACATTCCAAGATACTTGCACGTGCAACATGTCCCCCTCACTTTCACTCACCCCCATCAGGTGAAAATCCTCCAGAACCACATGGTTTACCCACCGTTTTCTCAATCTTTTACAGTGGCCAGTTACTCAGCACTTGGGTCAACACCTACCTGCCCAATCCTAACCGCCTCCATAGTATAAGTGTGATTATTCGTTTCCTTCTTATTTTTTGAATGCCTCGTTGTTAATTCATGCTTTCCCCCCAATTTTTATCCTTACATTGGGTCTGCTACTGTGGCTTCTTTTTTGTTTAACCTAGTGTGCCAAAAATGAAAAACGTTATTTTAGACTGATTATCACCACATTTCTCTGATCGATCATTTTCCTATAGTACACTGACGCAAAAGAATTGGACCGTGCACATTCGCAGCGTCCCGAGTCACCGGCTCCGTCTGCTGAAGGGGATGAGAATGTTCCACCACCAGACACTCCATCAAACAACTTGAGCCACGTTGAATGGCAAACCCCAGCTGTCGGTACGTTGAAATATTGTCATTTAAATTCCCCCAGAATTCGGATGATATCCGGAACTCTTGAGTGTTCGCAACCGCCGAGCAATTCTTTTTACTTAGCCCTTTCTCTCCATATATTTTGTTTTCTCTGGCTAATTAAACTGCGATCATCGGTTTCTCCTCAACTCCGTATTCTTGAAATTTCGCATTCTTGTGAAGATCAGCCAAATAGCTGAACAAAGCTGTCAGTGGACTACCAAGAAATGTCTCTACGAGTAGTGATCATGGATGGATTCACATAGAAAAGTTTTTCGAAACAAGTTGTATCAGAAATGCAACTAAAGTTACCGAAGTTCCAAGTTGTTTTATCCTTGTGAAGGGAAAGCCTTATCAATGACCTGTTCTCCCGAATCGGTAGTCCGTTATCGAAATTCATACTCGATGTACAGCGTGAGTTTACTACATCGATTGCTACTACAATTGGACTAGGTGTGACTAATCCGAATCACGTTTGGCGGAACTCCATGATTGCACGTTTGTTTGATGCCCTCCGTTTGGATGATATGTTCAGGTAATTGAGGGAAAATTGAGCGAAATAGAGCGCTAAGGATGCAAATTGTGTTTTATTTCCGTTTCTCTATCTTGTGGCTATTGTACTGTGTAGCATCAGTTACACCTTGAGAAAATGCTTTGCTGAATCCACCTTAGCACGAAGGTGTGTTTGACATTGAACAGAATCACTATCTCCATTACTCTTGACAATCACATTGCTGTTGAACTTTGATGTCTCATTGCTTCACGGCCGTGTTATTCTTTCTTTTGTAAAAATGTGAATAAAAAGAACTGTGGTGAAGACGCAATGCAGTAACTTGTTATAATGGACATAGCCGCCTGCTGAGCTTCAAAGCACAAAACTTAAAAATGGCGTAGCCACATCAAGGTGAAATTCACCATGTGATAATGTATGGGCCACGTTAGACTGAGTTTCACCTGAAGGATGTGCTCAGTATGTTGCCAGCTGGGGTAAATCCAAATATATTCGAAATATTATCAGGAGTCAAATGGTGCATGAGTTGTTTGACATTCTGGGCAGTTGTGTAAGTTCCAGTGGACTAACCGGATATGAGATTACTTCTTGAATCGGGAAGACCAGGGTGACTTTTACCAACCTCCGGCACCTATGATGCCGATGTGACGTCAGTTTGTCTGTCAAGGGAAGAGTTTACACTGCGGCCGTGCGATTCATACTGCTTCATGGATTAGAGCCGTGGTCTCTACGTTCAGAGGTCATACTAAAACCATCGGTGTTTCCGAAGCATTGATCGGGTCTGGTGGGAACATCGGATTAGGAATGCTACGGTACGCTAGATGGTCCTAGGAAGAAAGAACTCTCCCGCGACAGATGAATTGCTCACGCTTCATAGGTTTTGCTGGTTAGGACATGTACTCCGCATTCTGAAGACTGACTGCTTCGCAGAGCTCTTCTCGCCTACCTCTGTTCTGAGTGGAAGCGACCGAGAGGTGGCCAATGTATGACCTGTCAGCGAAGTATGAAAATACTAACCAGTAAACTTAGTTGGGTCGGTAACTTCCACCTCCTCGGATGGGGTCCTCGGGACTTAAGTCACCAACGGTTAGTGATACCGGAAGAAATGGCTCAATCGCGCAGTCAGTGGTGCTCGTTCATTAAAACTATTGACTTCAATACGTAGCTACCCAATTCCCGAACTAACTGAACGTACCATCGCCTCCAAGACTTGGCTGTATGTCCCGCGCTCACCCATTGTAACAGCTGTAACCAATGCGTCTACGGTACGCTGTAATAGCTGATAAGTTGAATTGATTGTTTGGAACACAGCTGATTATCGGAATTCCCGCCAGTAAGAAATGCTCACGGCGAATTCGAAAAATCCAAACCGATTCGGTCACATTAAACGGGCAGTCGTAATAACAAAGGATGTTTAGAGGAAATATATTTATGTACTATGTCCAAACCATTTTAACAGCGTGTCAAGAGCCACATACGATGTTGTAAATTAGTTCAACCGGTTAAAAGTGTCTTCGTAGCAAGCAGAACACTTTTGTTCCACCCACACAAACGTTACCACAGAGTGGGCACTTTTTTTACACAGATCTAGCCCGTCATCCACCACCTAACTGCGTAATATCTACACGTATTTACCGGAATATATGACTCAGTTGCAGAATACCATTCGTCAGCTATATTCTGAACAAAGTACTAACACCCTGTTTGCTTAATCCTCGTTAATACGAGTTGCATAGGCAAGCTCCGTTATCTGAGCTTTCACACGTTGAAGACTCACCCTATCACGATGGTTACAAATGCTGAACGAATTAACTGGTTAGAATGTAAAACGAGCACACAAATTCTGACACCACCTGAGATGGGATGTGCGTGAAAGTAGCCGAGATGAAGTTTATGGTTCGGTACTTAAGTCGGATGCTTCGTTCCAAATGCAGTAACTTCTCTGTAGCGTTTATCCGTTCAGTGGTCCTTGATACAATTTCGTGATAAGGGATCAGTGGTGCTACTTGACTGTGCTTCTAAAACCTGATTGTTCGAAAACTCTAATCCGATCCTGTTCAAGGAGTGGTATTCAGAAGGAATTACCTCGTCACACCAGAATGCTCATTGGCGTTCCCAACCTCCTCTTATGTGACCATACGTAAACCGTCTATATCTTGCTATATGTCAGCCATATGTTGACGAGAGCCACCAAGAATGCGCTCTGGATGTCGGTGGATCTTTGTTACCTATGCAAACGAAGTCATTGACCAAAATGCCCAGTCGCATCTGGTATTGAGAAGTGGCAGTATCTATGAGGCCTAGTAAAACAATTCATGAAGGAAAAGGTATCGTATAGAAGAGTCTTTGAATAGACTGCCATGCAAACAAGCTTTCCGCTATCTCTCGATTAGAGCACGGTTAGTGATCTAGCTTATCTTGTTCAAGCCCAGCGGAAACATGTAGTCCATAAACTCCAGAACAGTCAGTTACTTGCCCGAGTAGCTTTATCTTCGGTTTAGTCAGCGAAGCCTACTCTCGAAAGTTAAACCCATTCGTTATCAGCTTGAACGACCTCTCTGAAGTGTCCTCACTCCTGTTTTTTTTATGCCTTCAGCTAAAACACCTGCACGAACGAATCCTCCAGATCAACTCACATTGTCTCCTAGCCGTTCAATCGATTCCCAACTTGCCCAGTTGACCCAAAGTCTTCATGTAACTCACCTTTCAGACGTGTAAGTGTCTCAGTTACTTGTGTCGGTCAGCACCGGCGTCCCTCGACTTTGTCAGAGTAGCTTTTGTCCTCTCTTCAGGAACTTCTCTTTTTGTTTAGTCGTTAAACATGGTTTCGCTTGAAACAGAATGATTTTTTTTCGGGGTTTTGATAATAGTGGCAATCCGTGATTATCTGCTTTCCTCTTTACTTCATTCGTCTCAAACCGAACACATTGTACCGGGAAGTTGGGCACACCGAACTGTTTTTTGTATGCTCTGATTGATTACTTCAAGTCACGTTTCTTTTGTCTTTGTCGTCATGCATTTTTTATCAGCATCGAATGGAATGATAGGATTCGGCAGATCGCATCGCTATGTCACGCTATCTTTAGATGGAATAGTTCTAGTCATTTTGGCACTGCCAGGCATCATCTTGGTCTGGAGATGGTTTCCATCTACTTCAGCAGAAATTTTTGGGGCCTAAAGGCCTTTCTCATGTGGGGATAGTTTTTAAGTGGAGGGTGACTGTGTGTTTGGATTTGTCTTCATTCAATTGCAGTTTCAGGTTTTTAGTGATATTCGGTCCCTTCATGAAGTTCCGTTTAGTCGTCGTTCTGCCGTCTGGTTATCCTATTCACTGCTGTAGGTAATCGCAGCAGCGAAATAAGTTCGTTAACACTGTATTCGAATCACCATTGAAACTACCCATTCCTCTTGCATTTCCCGATTTTTTTGCGATCATTTTCTATTTGGTACTGTGATAACGACAATGTCTCAGCCCAGTTCTCGATCTGAACCCACCAAGCTATTGTTCTTGTCAAAATAACCATCAAAGGTGCAGAACGTGTATTAACGTCAAAAGCGAGGTCAAAAACATGTACGGTATATCTATATAAAGTGTCTGCGGCAGCACTCTGGAATTTCCGATGCACCATTGGCAACCGGCATTGGGTGGATGCTGGAACGTGATTGGCTGTTTAGTCCAAACTTTCTGACGATCAGATCTCGCCCTGATGTTGGACCAGCAAGCAGGCCGATCGCGTCCGTAATGGGCTTCTTGACCGTCGCATCACCTAATTGCTAGTTGTAAATCGGTTTCGGTGCGGAATTACGCCTAAAAGGTACACAAAGGATTCGTGAAACGTGACAATGCGTGCTTCAAACGTGCGAAAAGCTGTTAAGAACTTCCAAAACCAAGTGCAAACATCGGTGCCCTTTCGGGAAAGGTGATGTATTCACCATCGAAAGATAGCGCTTTTGCATAATTCTCGTTCAATAAGGCAAAATGCTTGCCATCACATTCTTGGTTCCCATCTTCGGTTCAGCTAAATGTAGGCATTTTCGACATGTCCTGCATACCTTGAGTTGACTAAATGTAGGCATTTTCGACATGTCCTGCATACCCTTGAGTTGACGTGTGTTTATGTGAAAGAAAGCCTGACACCAAAACATCCTTGATATAAACAATGCTTTTTTCATAAACGAAACTACTCACAAGGTTGCTGAAAACTCTTCGACAGCCCACAACCGGTTTCGCCCTTCTTGGGGCTCATCAGTTAGGTGCAGTCCCCGAGTTTCTGTCAACCTTATGTTCTACTTGAACGGAAACTCGGGGACTGCACCTATCTGCCCCAACCCAAGAAGGGTGAAACCGGTCGTGGGCTGTCGAAGAGTTTTCAGCAGCCTTGCGAGTAGTTTTCTTTATGAAAATATACTATCTCGAATGCAAATGAGTGTATTTCTCGAAAAATAATGATCTTGTTTACTGGGGAGTCCTGATCGAGCCATTACTCTTCTTAGTTTCTTCGGCGTGCTTCATGGATGATCGTTGAGTTTTTTGACACATTAATCGACTGTGCTTTTTCCTTCTACTTTAGTCAAATGACATTCATTTATTACAGAAGTGTTATCTAATCAATAAAGCATCACTCACAGTGAACTTAGTTACCGTAAATTCCCCTCTTCTCGTACTTTACCTGTAGAAAGTGTAGCTACCTGGATCACTCTGATTACAATCATTGGCTTAGTCTAAAATATAATTCAGTTCAATGCCATTGTGTTGGTGTTTTTCCGAACGTAGGGAACATCGGAGCACTTACTAAACGCGTTCAACCCTCAGATTCGAATTGATGTACGTTTCCGTGTTTCGAGATGCTTACCTAGTCATGTATGATTATCAGGAACCTCTGTTTCGTATTGTTGCGTGGAGGATCCCTTGCCTGGAGTCTCACCCACAGTGGTCGGCCAAAACGGTATTCAGCCTTTTCTAATAACCAAACCGATCATGATCTTGTAGTATCACTGGCTGAATCCGTGTGCACCACACCTGTTGAGTGCAGCTCAGGGTATCAAACGATTGAATTGATTGTTTGGCCTTGATAGCCTTTGACATCTTTTCAGCAGTCAATATCATGTTTTTGGATTTTTGCGTGTACCAAATCAAAATCGGTCGAAAATTAATTGAACACCTACCTTGTGTTCTTAGCTGGAAGCCTTAGAGGAAAAAGGCTGCTCTTTTAGCCTTTCGCACACCGTATAGACATCTCCTTGTACTCACTCGTCACTTTTTATAGTTCGAACTCGTTGAGAATTCTATGTGGTGGAAAGATCGCTCAATAACGGAATGTTCTAACGCCGTTAGATTAATACTCACACGTGCTCGTATGCCACTGCAATCGACATCATACCTACTCTGGCTGTACTTTGGTATGTACTCTAGATGCACCTTAAGCGACTCCAACTTTATGGTTCCTCTCGTATTTCCTCATTAACCTAGTCCATTCATCCCGCGTATGAAATGCCCGAACCCAAATTCGGATAGCTCAATGCCAGCTTCTCTGAGTGGTGCATATTTGACTAACCTATCGAGCTCGTCGAGTGCTTCTTCTAGTCATCCCCGGGATTCCGTTTCAACCCCCGCAAACCTAACAAACAATGATCTCTCTCGATCCCGTTGCTCAGCTGAGGAGCAGAGTACCAGTGTATCCAGTGGATCAAGTTGGCGTCAGTTTAACAAACTTCGTGACGTACTGACGCCCAAAAAACCCGCAGCTTTGCCAGATGGACGGTTACTTGCTGATCGCCTACGCAAAACACGTCACCTCAACAATGTGTTCCTGGTTAGGCGAGATTTGTCTGCCGGACAAGTTTTCGATCAGATCGCCTCTGCATTACGTCAACAATCCATCCGCTTTACTCTGAAAGGGTAGGTCCATACCTTCTGTTGATCCGGTTTGTTGATGAATCTACAGCTGGTCGCTGCATACCCCACTACTGAACACCATAGGATGCACTTATTCTTATCTTGTCTGTTATTTTGCTAATGCCTTTTGCATAAATACTTTGATAACAGCTTGTGGAAGCTTCGGTCCCTCCCCCAGTGCTGCCATATCGTGCAGTCATTGACACGTAAATCCTTATAACACTGTCTTAAAGCACCGTGGAGGTATGATATTCTAGGTCCGTCGGTCTCTTGGTTCTTGATAAATGCCTCGAAGTCAAGCGCTTCTTGTGTGTCGGCTGAGGCGTCCTATTGGTCATTCGACACTAGAAGCAGCTATACACGGAGGAGCTGTTACCGACAGTATCGAGCAATGGAGGATGGCGTTGGTAAACTAACCTCCCGTCCTGTTTGGAAGCGTACGGATCTTTGAAGGAATACTTGGGATACAGTCATCATTCACCCGTTCAAGAATGGTCAATATACCAACTGCCGCGATTTTTGTCTGATTAATTTTGCTTCCCAGATTGTGGCAGCCGTAAGTTTTCACCGACTCAAACGTTCTGACAACCATCCATGAAGGACTAGTTTCTGCTCGAATGGGAGACGCGTCACTCACTTCACTGTGCGACGGCTACCGAAGCTGAACTATACACACCGAGGCCCAGTCTTATCTTTCTTGACAAACAAAGTGCGTTCGACGCTGTCGACAGAACTGCCTTGTGAAACTGTTTGATGAGCAATGTAGTGCCTGTTTCTTATTGCTCGGACATTCGGACAAGTCTGGAATTACCGCGAGTTTTCATTTCTCCTTACTTTTCCAAGCGGAGTTACACGAGGTTACCCGATCTCTGTTTGATGTTTAGCCTTTTAATGAGGATCATAGATAAAATTACATCACGTCGTGAAGGTTCGAGCGTTCGGAACCTCCATCACCCTTTGAAGACATTACTAGACCGGTCGCTTCCAGTCGTCGCTGTCTGCGAAGCTTCATCCATCCGTTGTGGGAATGGCACGTGAGTAATGAAGAATCAACCAACGATTGTCCAAAATCGGATGACTTTCTTGGTTCGGTTCCGAAGTAGCACCAACTACGATGGTTGTAGCACGTACTTAGGGTATCGAGTTGTCTGCTGCCTCATCAAACCTCGTTCAAAACCACAGGCAAAAGTTGGAACAGAAAAATGGAGATCAAGGAATGACGCCATAGAATACGTGAAAGCAGGTACTCTCCGGTCAGTTTCGGTTGGTGCTTATAGATTTTCTGGCTAAGGGTCCATGGAAGACTTGCTCCTGGTTGAAAGCTCTCTCCGAAATGACTCAGCATTAGTATAAATGGTGCCTTCGTTGTAGCATTCCTTCTTGCCAACTACTATTGGTTGTGTTTTTTAAGTGATGTAATTTGCATCGGACTTCGTCCACACTTTATACAAGGGTTATGTTACCTGTGACTAACCTAGTGTGCCTCGTTATTTATTACAGTTACATGAATCTTTAACATTATTAGGTCGCTTTCTTCACCACACTTCTAAACGTATTCGCAGTTTTACAGTTCCTCATCGGGAACTAGCACTTACCCATCTTTCCCTGTATGTTTTTACAGGACCGGCTTCCTCTGTGTATTCGTCAATGATTGGGGGAAAACTGTGCTCTCGTTTGAAATCGAGCTTGTTTATGTCTCTACCCGTGCCGCTGTTGATTCAACCAGCTTGACCTCGGTAAAGAGGCGAATGACCTTGAAGCCACGCCCGACTGTACAGGCTCAGACGCCTGCCGCTCCACCTGTCCTCAACTCTCCGGCCCGACTTACTCTGGTCGCCCAGAGACCTGTCAAGCAGCCATCTACTGAATCGGCTTCGAAGAACGAATCAGCGGAAGGTACTTCACAGGATGACACGAAACCGGTCAGTGGGATGCGGTGTGCTGCGGGTGACAAACAGTTGGGCATCAAAACGAAACGTCTCCGGGGCGATTCTTTTATGTACACGAGCTTGTGCCGGACCATTCTAGATACGGCTAACCTTCGCGCGGAATGACGTGTTCCTATCACTAGATTTTACTTCGTATCCCTATTTTTCCACAACAATTACCTTGCGATTCGATGCATAGATTTATCTTATTTATGCCACTTTGATAAGAGCTGTTGGACTTATTCAAAATTATAGGGAGGAAGCACCACAAACCGGTCCTTTGTGCCCGTTCCTTGGCCTTTACAAATCACGTTTCAAACATTCATGTCTGTCGTCATCATCATCATTGCCAGTTGCGTCAAAATCCATGTGACAGCAGAGTTACTTAAGGTTAACTAGTTTAGATAAAATGCTACATAGACGGTTTAATACTTGCCTTGTACAAAAGCCCAAGGTGCTCACACCTGCAAACACAGACAAACACCATTGACATTGGGACATTGGAACACCTCCGATGAAGCACAAGGTGGGTCACTTGGACCCCTTCTGGAGAGCAGGCAGCTCCTTAACGTATCATCATATGCATTCTCCTACGCCATGCCACTCGCTCTCTGGTTTGCCTGTTTGTGGAAAACACCACCATTCTGGGCATATCATAAGGCGACATGCGTAGTGTATTACTGGGCCACCAACACCAGTAATGTAAAATTCGAAAAGTAAATCACCCAGGACCTCACCAAATACTCACCTCTGCAAATCCGTCTGTGTCATTGAATTAATGAAGAATCAGAACTGGCTTCACAGGTATTGTTTTGATACAGTGGAGACCATTTAATATGTCAAGTCGTGTCAAGACTAATCTTCAACTCGCGGACTGTCGTTAAACACATTTCGTCAAGAAGATTCAAACACGCCCCAGTCGTAGAGTTAAATTGGAGATTCGACTCATCAAGAAATCAAACGATCAACCAACCACCTGACCACACCTCGATCATCTATGACGATAAGTCTGACTGCTTTTCACGTAAAGTCCCACTGGGCTTAGGTAAATAAGAGTTTTACTATATATATACTATATATATGTATATACTATACTATACAAATGGCCTATGTGCCAAGAGACCACAGAGCGACGTGTATGGAGAATGACGAGGGCGAATACTCGGCAGAAAAGTCACTTAAAGTTGGCCTTTCGTTCAACATAAAAACGAATTACTATAGAGAGAAAGATGGTAGAAACCAACGGCTTATAAGCCTCTGGCTGCGTTTCTGTGTTATGTCCGCAGACGTTACAGGCCATGCACTGTTATGATCTAGTGGACCTCATCCATAGGAGCGCACTGGAATGGGTCATATCTTAACCCTTGAGCGGTTGCTTGAAAAGTACCGTTGTGTCCGTAGGCCAGCCGTCCCTAAGAACCGAACATCACATCATTTGGACGGATGTGTCACGTGCAGGATACGGACCAAAACGGTTAGTCAGAATGTCAGCCAATCCGGATCGAGCATTTTTAACCCGACGCTTCTGGTCCCCTCAAAGAGATTCTAGCACGACCTTGTGGAACACTCTTTGATTACCCTATTAATAGTTGTATTAATTTTCCTTTTTCTCCATAAAGAACTCTCTGAAGCTACCGTGCCTTTTGATATACCATAGTGGACGGAGCAGGAAGCCAAGGGACCGATACAGGGGTGTTCGCTGACGGACATTGATTATGCGGGCAGTGTTACACTTCGATGGGACCTAATCAGATATAGGACTTCTGAGTGCAAGATACTTAATACGAAAACCCTCCATGTTTGGTCATGTGTCGAAATATTGGTAACTCAGGTGACTATTAGTTGTTGATCTGTTCGCCGAGCTTGAAAAGTGACTTGCAAACGTTTCGTCACTATACAAGATATCATCAGCGCGCACTAGGTTCAGCGCACCCTTCACAGACGAGCAGCTGAACTAAGTTGTCAGTGCACCTGGTGAAATACCGTTTCGTGCACCTAATCCTCTCATGAGTGTATCATCTCAAACCGGACTGCTTCCTCCCTCGTCCCTTATCTCTCGCAGAACAGCGTGATGACAACTTCCTCTACACTGACTTCTGGATGCCGTTTTTCGAAATTACTGGCATGCGTCATCATTTTTCTCATGATTTTCTATCGGTCCAATGAAAATTCGGTGATCGCTGCCTACGACTTATTGGCTTTCAAAATTCATCTGATCAGACTGTGTATGCAGTGTAGAAAATTGGTTTCACCAAGCTCAACGTATTAGCTTGGCCAATTCGTTTTCCTTGCTCGCTCATATACCATTCATGTCCTCAAGCCGTTCAATATCGGTCGCCGATCACCACTCGGCGTATTTTAAGCTTCAGAAATTGTCATGGATTTTGCTATTCCAGGTAGGTATTCTTCATTTCAGGAGAACTTTTGTACAATTTTGCACCGGTAAAGCGGCCTTTTCAACAGGCAAACTGGTAGGTAGTCAGGCGACTTGTGCACTGAATAATCCGCGTCCTAAAGTTAACGATTCTTTTCTGGGCTAGCTGAAAAATGGAGGACGAACGCAGCGACAATATCAGCATTTGACCCGAGATGTCAACCAAAGGTTTCTGCGCACTGAGTCTTTTTACTGGTAGACCTGAATCTGTCGAAACCCTAGCATCCTTCGGTTTTCACTTACATGGAAAAACTCTATCTGTGGTGGCTTACCACCTGAGTACGGAAGATGTAGATGATTTCGGGTACCGTGAGTTCTACGTCTTCAGTGAAGAGTACCGGGGACTGTACAGTTCGACAAACTGTGGAGGGGGTTTAAACAACAGTTCGACAATGTCCCACTATCGGGAGCCTCCTCAAGTGGCAAACGTCTAATAATATGCGTACTTCAGTATTTCGTATTGCCTTGTGAAATGTAGTGGACAACTTGTGGACTTGGCAGAACATCCTCTGTATTAAAGATGGCTAGTTGTAAGCATATGGTCGAAAAGCTCATTTGCATTAAAATAATCATTTGGGCCACATTTCTCTGTACTTACTTAAAAGATAGCTGCGACTAATTGTTGTTTTTAAGGCTCCGACATTCACTTCGGGTTACGCTTGTATTACAGTATTGACTGGAAAGAAAAAGCTTGACGTGAAGGCACCAAGATGTCTTTCGATATACAACGTGACAAGGCAATTTCACAACCGCCTATACTGCCTCACTAAAAAATGTTCAGCACAGATTCCTTTTGCACTCAGAGCCAGTGTCCTTTACACGATCACCAATAGTGTAGCAATGGCTGTAGCTTCCTATAAATTCTAACGGCATTGAAAAATGGTCTCAACATGCACGCGTGCAAAGAAATGGTCCAGGACCAAGCACCGTTTTCAAACAGGTTTGGAGTGAGGAAAGGTTGTTTTTTGGAGGAAATGATGGAAATGGATGAATTATGGTGTTCATTGAGAACTGTAGAAGACATTAGCCTCATCCACTTGTGTGATAAAAATTCCTACGATTGAGCTCGTTCTAATTATAGGGATTCAGTTAGCCCACACCTTGTGATACCAGACTAAACAATGGGATCAGCAACTACTAAATAGTTAACCACCGGCAGCTGGGTGCTAACTTATCATGTTCACAATAAAGGTAGTTTTTGGAAAGTTAGTGCGTACAACTCGAAACTAAATGGCAAGGGTTGGTTGTGGCAGTTACACTATTTATTTGAACGTTCACAGGGGTAGTGAGGTGCATGGTAATCTCTATCTCCAAGTTTCCCCAGAGAATCCCAGTAGACATTTATACAGTTGTGTCTTAACTCATGGCGTACCTAGTGACATGGAAAGTGATGTACCATGAAGTACTATGGAGATATGTCCTAGAAAACCTCTCGTACTCTTGCTGCTGTCTCAGTGCCGGCTTGGATTCCGTTTCGAAACTTGGAAATCCTAAATCCCCGATTGTATTCAGCGACGGGTGAATCAAAAATCAATTTTGTGGTGAGAAACGGTAAGAAATCACAATGAACGCACACCAAGTGGAAGTGAAAGCAACACAATAAAAGGAATAGAACAGAAACAGAAAAAAACAAAGGTATAACCGGATGGAAAATGTGAACCAAAATGATAATAAATACAGGATCGACCGCAAAGCATATGCACAACTCCCTCGTGACGCTTTATAGAACGTTTCAGTTTGCAAACTCTCAAAGTTGATCTATTGGCCGTTGGTTGATATGATGTTGATCTGCTTCATGATAGGATGTTCCACCAGGTATTTGAGCACCAATTCTCTGCTTTCATCTTTAAAAATAAGAAATACCGAAGAAAAAAGAACGTGATGGCTGTCTGTCGAGTGGATTATCTTTCACATTATGGTTTCATCATTATTTACGGTTCTTGATTACTTACCAAGAGAAACAAACGTAATTAATATTCTCGAACTAGCGCTAGTCCAGAAAGCTATTGATTTCCCGGAAACTACAGGCGAGCCACATCTGCGCTATGGCTGTGCTCCTAAATCTCACGGACCCCGCTCAACTGCACAATCTTCAATTCCTTCAATCAAGCAGTGGAATGGGGTATTGTGTAAACATCCCGACGAGCCCATAAAGGAAGTTGATTAACATGTGAACAAGCACGTCACCAATCTCGCACAAATCGATATTTGAAGGAAGTTATCTTTAAAACCACAATAACCACACGCTGGAAATCTCATAACTTCTATACTGCGATCGTCCTTATGCTGTTGACGGAATCCTGTCTGTATTTACCTTGTCTTATGGCCTTGATATAGCTCCAGACGAGTACACTCCCAATGATATCATTTTGGATCAACCTTGGCCGCAGATTTAACCGGTTGACATTGAAATTCTCTCTATCAGTTCTTAAGTCCACACAGAGTCTCCCATTATACCTTGGTGGGACAAACAGATGGTGCTACGACTGCTTTCTTCACAGGTCCAGGTACCACAAGTCTGGCAACACACTGTCAGATAAATGCTGGTTTTTGCAACACACCGCTTCCTCCTGAGGCAAACGTGTGAGAACACTCAAGGCCTATAAGCCAATGGCGATCTGTGACGACGTGAAAATGCTCCACAACTTCGAATACCTTTCCTTGGAATGTAACTAGCGGGCTCGTGACTGCTTGTCCAGAAGCGTAACCTCACGCTTCGTGTGTACAAAGAGGATGCTAAAGGGCGAGATGACTTCGGTCAGTACATCGAAAGACACCTCTTCAAAGACACATTCCAGGTCAGCATTTTTTTCATCGGCAGCTATTTAAACACTAGGGATTTTGAAGATTTTGACTTACTATTTCGTCGATCACGAAAGTAAGAAGAGTGGAGAGAGAGAGAAAGCGAAAGAAAGAAAGAGAGGGAGAGTGGATACTTTGCTTAAGGAAGCTTCTGGAACGCTTTCCATACACTCTC